AGCAACGAACTGCTCCACTTACCTTTCTCTAAAACATTCTCTAATTCAGAAATCCTTTTTTTTTTTTTCTTTGTGTGTGTGTGTGTGTGTGTGGCGGGGGGGACATACGAGGTTTGGGTAAGAATAACACCAGTTTTCTTTACCTTTTCAGAGACACAGGACTTCAAATACAATAGTATCCATATAGTTCTTCCTATCCATATAGTCCTTCCTGCCACATCATATATACTCATTTTTTTCTTCAATTGAAACATTTCTCCTTGATTTTTTTTTTCCCAATTCAAGTTGTTTCTGGGGACAACCTTTCTTCCTCCAGCTTTCTAACATGTTCAAAACCTTCCAGGGCAGACAAGCACAGAAGCTCCTATTAACATTCATTTCCAATGCAAAGACAATCTTGGAGTCGAACCATGAACATCCCTCTTTAGGCCAAGAAAGCCCATATTTACTGTCTTTCCACTGAGATGCTTCAGGCTGCTTTGTTGTGCTTTGCGAATTAATAGGGGAGTGAGGTCCCATGTCCCAGACAATACTATTATTTCAGCTACTTGGATGTCTCAAGTGTGCCGCGTGGGCATTATTTTTCTGTGTGCTCATGCAGTGTCATAAGCCACCAAATGAAGCTAACAACAAGCTTCAATTTGACTACTACATAGGCACATGCTCCCTCTTAAAATAAAGGCTTGTTGCTTCTTGCTTCTCCTTCAGCTGCCCTTTCCCTCTCTTTTAAGTGTTCACACCCTTAAGAAAAAAAGCAGGGATTGAATTTCAAGCGCAGGAGAAGCTTCAGCTTAATTTATACAGGGCTGAGAATCTGCTTGTTCTGCCCACAGATGGGGCGGCTGCAGGACAAGCCCTGCTTTGTGCTGCCCTCCATCCACATGTGAGAGCCCTCGTCTCTCTGCTGCAGCGCACGTGTGATCGCAGAGGCACGTCCAGGCTCGGCCTCCTGTTACAGACGAGCTAGCCGAGGAGATAAACCAACTGCTGGCATGCGAGCAGTGCAGCTCAGCCGGGCTACGTTATCGGGTCAGCCCTGCCAACAGATAATTCGTTCAGGAAAAGGTGCATCTCGCCCTGCAGACGGATGGAGAACAACCTTCACGGTTCTTATTTTCCCTGCCCCCCCCGACAGAGCGTGGTTGGTACTGTTAATCCTATTTAATGTAGCTACAGATAGACGTGCAAACCTTTAAGCCCACTCAAAGCGACTAACCCTTCAGCCAGGCTCAGCTGGAGCGCCATGACTCAAGCTCTAAGCAGGCATTAGCAGCTTGCCCTGTTTTACATTCCTCATTTTTTTTTTCAGTTGAATTGATCGCTCTCTTTGCTTCAAAATGAGAAATTTCATTCGCTTTAACTATCACACCATGAGTTATTCAGGGCATCAATGCTGGTATCCTTTCTACAACAAGCAGCCTCTCATCTAAAGCATGCAAGAGCTCCCCCGGGTTGTAGGCTTTGACATTATGCTGATTACCAGCAAGACGTCAGCTCTGAAATGGGAGTCAGCCCTGAAAATGAAGCCACATGCTGATATTCCCAAAGGTTTTTATGAACCCCTCGATCACGTTTATCTCCCCAAATTCAGTGCCTTTCTGTATGCTGTCTTGTTTGCTTGAGCAAGTTTTACAGTCCATCTTGGTTCATTTCATGTTTTTGCTATGTCATTTAGAGGGAAGAATGTTTTTTTGTGTCCTGGGCAATCATGCTCCATGGATTTACATTTAACACTCTTCCCTCCCCTGATACATATATATGCTGATATTAGCTGTTGTTTTTCCTATACTAAAGGACAAGCAAGACCTGCTGGTACAGCAGAGGTTGTTAGCCACTCAGTTACATTAGACTGTAGCTGTCTGACCAAATTTTTCTGTTTGCTTTCAGTTTGCATAACAGAGGGAGCAATAGGCCATTAACCAGCTTTATAAATCTTATTCACAACAAGCTAGTCCAACCCTAAGCATGAGGGAACTACTCTTTCTCCTCTAAACCGTTTCCCTGGAAAGACTCCGTCCCCATTAATAACACTCCCCAGCTTTTATTTGCATTCATATGAAAGCTGCTCCCTGCCTCCCATTCTGGTTTCCTGCTGCGCGTGGGCGAGGAGCGCTGCAAGACGGCGCCCTCCCTCCTCCCCGGCTCGGCCACCTCTGCTTTGTGCTGCAGGATCCTCAGCCGGTGTCGCAGAGCTGGGAAGGGAGCCAGGAGCCCCAGGAGCTCCGCGGGCACGCGGCGCGCGCCCTGCCGCAGCGGGAGGCCTCCCCGCGCCGCCGCTCGCAGCTGCAAGGTGGGGAAACGCAGCCCGACAGGTCCGGCGGGCACGGGCTGCATCCAGGCCAGGTCCCGGAGAGCATCCGTCCCCGGAGCAGGCCCCGTGTCGGCAGCTCGGAGGCCGGGTAGGAGCAGCTACTGCAGCAGTCAGAGCTGCCCCCTCTTTATGTCCCTCTCCCTGCCCCAGCGGGGCACTCCAACCTATTTCCCCCTCTCTGGCTTGAAGATATCCCTGCCAGGTGCCAACTCCTGCCCTTATCTACCCACCATGTGACACAGCTGCTGTTCTCCCTTCAGAGGAGCTCCAGTTCTACTAAAGAGGGTGGAAAAAATGCCAGGTTTTGCCCCCTGAAAAATACTGGTTTGTCTAGAGCCATTCTTTCACTTCTGCTTGCTCTTCCTTCCTCCTGCAAAATAAACCTTCCTCCTGCAATTTATTTGAGGATGCTGTTGGCTGCACAGCCAAGTTTGATTTCAGCTGTCAAAATCCAATTCAACAGGTAACTTTACCCTCTCAAACAATATCAAGCCTCATAGCATAGATTCAAAATAAGTATGCTGATATTTGTGTTGGTACCATCATCTTTCCAACCAGTAATGACAGCTCCCACCCAACCCGAGAACCGCACAGATCTGGATGCTATTCCCCTTGGGGAAAACTGCCCAGGGCCCTCCAGTTAACTTGGAAAGAACAACTTTCTATTTGCTTCCATTTGCAAGCAGAAAGCACAAAGAGAGGGAACTGCTTGTAGGGCTCCATTCTGGAACAAAGGATATTTTTGCTTTCCTCAGTCTTCCAGAAGAAGGATCAAGGAGCTGAAAAACTGCAGAAGCAGAGGTGCCAAGAGGAGCTGCTAGAGGAGCTGCAGGAATGACACAGAGGACCTACAGGAATCGCAGAGCACTGGGGGTGAGGGCACGATTAAAACAACACAAACAGAAAACACTGCAGCAATTTCTCTCTTTCAGGAGTCGAGTGGTGGCACAGCCCGTCTTTTCACGCTGCTCACGCACAGCTGCGTGTGTTCAACTGGGTTATACAAGTTGCAGCAGAGTGCGATGCATTTAAAGACACGTGCTTCAGGCTACAGGGTCTCTTCTTCTTGCAAAGCAGGCATTCTCTTCCATCTTACACCTTACACATCTCTCCATTTTGGAAGCAGAAACAACCTCAAAAATAAAGGAATTGGCCCTTACCCTATTCTGCTCTTTACCACTTTTGGCTGCAGTTGGTTTAATTGATCTTATTACACAAAATCTTCTACCACATCCTATTAAATGATTTCCAGCACACACACTTCACTCTGTTTGCTATTTTCTCTGTCTGGGTCCTGTATAGCTGAGTTCCCTTCCACCTCATGCAGACAAAAGAGAAGGAATAGAGCTGAGGAGGCACAGAATTAAGAGGGCACCAGGAATTACAAGTAGAGGGCAAGGAAGGGATACCAAATTCCTTGCTATGCTTCCACCTTAGCAGCAGTAGCTCAGCACAGCCAAACTACTTGCAAATGACTCATCAGTCTCACTGAAGCCTAGCCTTAGTCCTTCTCCATACCCCTTTATTTCAAGGGAACACAGTTCCCATTTTCTTGGGTGAGGAGCAAGGAAGGGGATGGGCAGCAACTCCCCAGCAGCACATTTACTGCAATTCAGCAGGGGGAACAGTGTCTAGAACTGCAACACTCCCACCTGCTGGGCCAGCTCATTTTTGCAACAGAAAATTTATCAGCAGTCTTGAAAATGTTCCCATCAACCAAACAACCCAACTCCTGCATCATTTTCACCCAGTGCTGCATGCCAGGCAGAGATGGATAGAGGTACCTGTTAAAAGTTTCATGCCAAGAGAGCCTAGCACCTGGGTCATAACCCTCCTGCCCATGGAAGCCAGCAAGGATGCCCTCTTTGTGGGAATGGGACCTCGGCCACAGGTATAAGCACCTGAAAAACAACTTTCTCTATAGAAAAACTTTCCTTTGGAGAAGGCAGGCCATGAGCAAGCAAACCACGAGTCATTTCTATTCCCAACTGTGCTCTTTGGAGGACTCAGTACATCAGAGAGAGGATTAAATAAGATAGGTCAATGTGAATCAGAGAGAGGCCATTTACATTACTGAGTTATCCTAAAGACACTGATTCCCGGATCAGATGGATGACCTGGTTTGCCTTCGTCAATCATATGAATCATTATCACAAAAGCAAGGGTAGGCTGTATCTACAAAAGGCATTATTTAATTAAACAACATATACAAACTTTTTGCAATAACAGAAAAGCCTGGCAGACGGTGTAGTAAGAACAAAAACTGCAACACTGCTCAGGTTTAACTCCTGCTTTTATACAGTCTTTCAAAGCATTCTTCCCTTTCTTCTCAGGTTTATTGCTGCTGGTTCAAAACACTTCCTCACTGAGATACAGTACTTTAAATGCTCCTTGCCAAATAGTAGAGAGAGCAGAAGTCTTGTATCCTGAGGAAGAGGACCAAGACTTATACTTGGCTTGGCCCACTCTTCTACACCAAGAACACAAGAGCCACCCTAGCTGGAGGTGGGTAATTTTAAAGACAACACATCTCTAAGCCAAGAAAAGCTCCCTGGCTCTAGCTAGCAAGGAGCAAGTTCTGTAAAGATGCAGATTTCTCTGCAAGTGCGATGTTAAAGTACTGATGATGAGGCATGTGTCCTGCGTCCCATCTCAAACAAATTGAGAATATGGCCAGTCTGTTGTTCTGAACACTAAGCTGCACAGTCCGGAGCTGCAAGAACCCCCGACACATTGTTTACGCTGTCCCAAAGTATTCTCTCTCAAATTTACGGAAATCTTCTTCAGTGAAGACAGTGCCTTCAGACTTCTTCTTTTCCTTCTTCTCTGGAGGTCGATCTTTGGACTTCCTGCCGCTGTTTTGGGCAAGAACCTTGAGAAAGAAAAGGAGAGCAGCCGTTGTCAACGTGAGTCACCCCAGCAGTGATTCCCACAGCTGTCGGCAGGATTCCCCTGCTGTACAAATCCCGGAAAGCCTCCAATGAAAAGAGGCATTTACCTGGGTTAACCAAAGCAGGGCATTGGAACAACAGCAAGGGGCGCTTAATGTGTTCTGCCAAATACGACAACTACTCTCTGGTACCATCACTGACATGGAAACACAGACTTCAATGTGAATTGTGACTTCCTCTTTCATGAGGAAACCTAACAACCTAAGAACTCAGTGGGATTCCTCTGGCATTTCCTAACACACTACAGTCACCTTTTACAACCCTAAGTCCAAGAAAAACTTGCCTGCACTGAACTGCTTGTGTAGATTAAAAGGTCATTTCTCACAAAATAACTAAGATTCTAGCATTGTACCCACTATTCTCTTCAAATCAAGGCCTGAGACCATCTCTTGGGGAAGACCATAAATAAATTCTTAGGTTCATGAGAAACATCATCCAAACTGCAATGAAGTTCCTGCCACAAGAGCCTGCACCACATCTAGTTTCTTACTAGTCCCCAGATAGAGGGAGGGACAAATCAAGCAACAGTAAGCAGAAGGCTTGAACTGAAGCTTCTTTTCCAGATTAAGTCACGAAACACACGCACGCAACAACAAAAAACAACAGGCATCCACAGATAACAGAGGATTTGACCACATTAAATGACGTCAGGGATAGCAGTAAGAAAGCCCTGAATTAAAGTAGACATGCAGAACTCTGACAAAGTAACATCTATTTATGAAGAGTGTTTTTGATATATCAGTTTCAGCAGTTATATAAAAAATATGCTCAGTTCCCTGGGACCTACAATAGAGAATCACCAAAATCTCCCCAAACCTCTTGGGATTTGATTTTGTGTGGAGATACTATACAAAATGAGCCAGTTCCACAAAGTTATCCAGGGTGGATAACTTTGTAAGTTTACATCACCTCACAACGTTACCTTAGACTGTTCCTATTGGGGTCTGTGAGAGGTGAGAAGAGAATCACCATCAGTAAATTTGAAGTACTGTAAGACCATAGTATATAGAAAGTATATATCAAGATAGTAGGAGCAACATATAAAAGGTTAAAGCTCCGTAACCTGCCTAGCTGGCAGACATACACACATTCCCCAAAGCCACGACCAGATGCAACCTACTTGTGACAGGGTTGAAATTAGAAGACCTTAGGATACTTCCCACCCATCCACAGTCCCCCATCAGAAATGCGACGTCCTTACTTGCTGTGTAACAGCTTTGTCTGCAATATACCGTCCCTTTGTCATGTACAGCAGGTTTGTTTTCAGGTGATCCACCGCTTTCTTCTTGCGGTACTCCTCTAGGCAAGAGCAGAGGGGGACAAAACACATCAGCTGTGCACCCATGGAGTCTGAGCAAGGCCTCAAGCACCCCGAGGCCTGCTCCAGCTGGAGACCAGGGTGCTGCAGACCAGGCGGCCTCGCAGAGGCAGGGCAGGGGGGAGGAAGACGAGGTGTGAGAAGGTGACAGGGATAAGGGGGTCTCGGGGATGCTGGGTGCAGGGGGGACACAGGCCCCTCCCGCGGGGCACACTCACCTATCGCCGACTTCACGGCCCTGCCCTTGACCGTGGCCTTGCTCCTCG